AAGTGAAAGGGCATGTTGTGTTTCCGGAAAATAGCACCAAGCGGCAGCAGGTATAAAGAGAATAGGAGGGGACCCAGGATGGACCCCTGCGGAACCCCCCATTTAATCTCTGCCTCTGCGGAACTAAAATCCTTGATGGAGACACAAAAGGATCTGTCAGTGAGGTAAGATCTGAACCAATTGAGGGCTGATCCTGTGACGCCCACCCACTGCTCCAACTTAGCAATGAGGATCTCATGGTCGATGGTGTCAAAGGCGGCTGTGAGGTCCAACAGGACAAGCAGCACAGAATCACCGGTATCTGTGAATCTGAAGATGTCGTTAGAGACCTTCAGCAGGGCAGTTTCAGTGCTGTGGAGAGGTTTAAAGCCAGATTGGCATAGCTCTAAGATGACGTGATCCTCCAGGAAGCACTGCAACTGGGACTCAACTATTTTCTCCAGTAGTTTAGAAACAAATGGGAGTTTGGATACAGGCCGGTAGTTGGAATCGACTGAGGGGTCAAGGTTTGGTTTTTTCAGGAGAGGCTGGACAGCAGCATGTTTAAAGGATTTTGGCACCACGCCAGTGGATAAACTACTGTTTACTATGGCAAGAATGGACGGACCTAGAGTTGGAAACACCTCCTTTAGTAGTCGAGGGGGGATCATATCAAAGGGGGAGCCAGAAGGTTTCAAGCTGCACATGACCTGCTCTAGAGAAGATAGAGTGATGGGTTCAAAATGGTCAAGAGGAGCTACAGATTGAGGTGGGATGGATGGGTCATGAGTTGGAGGGGAAATGAGAGCCCGGGTGGTCGCAATTTTTTTCAAAAAGAAATGTAAGAAGTTGTCGCACAGCTCAGTCGGAGCTTCCAGAGGTGATGGTTCAGTGAGGTGGAGAACAGAGTTTATGGTGGAGAAGAGGACATGTGGGTTGTGAGAGTTTGAGGTAATTATATCAGAGAAGAATTTTGAATTAGCAGCTTTTACTGTTTTCTGATAACGGCGCCAACTCTCTTTAAGTATCTGGAAAGAGACCTGCAGCCTGTCTTTCCTCCACTTTCATTCCACCCTCCTACATTGCTGCCTAACAGCCTTAGTGATGTCACTCAGCCAAGGTTCTGTTTTGATTTTTTGGTTTTAACAGCTGCGACATGATCCATAGTCTTTAAGCAGACAGAGTTGAACTGGGATGTCAGCTCCTCAGTGGTGGTGAGAAACACTGGGGCCTGAATTATCATTTCAGAGTTATAAACATCTGTGAAACGTGTGGCAGTGAAGTGGTTAAGGGTCCGAGTCCTACGTGCAGGAATGCACGACTTAGGAGTTAGATGGGGTAGGGTGAACTCAAACCGGACTGGCATGTGGTCTGAAAAAACATTATCACCAAAAACAAGATTATTAACAGTCACATCATGAGATAAAACAAGGTCCGGTGTATGTTCACACTCTTGGGTGGGAGCGTTTACATGCTGAGTTAAATTAAATGAGTCCAATAAATCTAAAAAGTCCTTAACCAAGGGCTTCTTAGGACAGCACACGTGCAAATTAAAGTCCCCAATAATGAAAAGATGCTCATATTTTGGTGTGATTTCAGCTAAGAAGTCAGAAAACTCATTTATGAAATCCTTAGATCGAGGTGGGCGGTAGACGAGTGCAAATAAAGTCTGAGGTGAATGTCCGAGTTCAAAGACACTCAGCTCAAAGCTGGCGCGGGAAACTGGGATGGGCAGTTGTTTACAGTCAAAAGTTGATTTGAATATTGTTAATAATCCACCACCGCGCCGGCCTGATGGCCGCGGTGCGTTAAAACACAAACAGTTCGGTGGCAGTAATTCCGTCAAGGCGCTGGACTCACCTGGAGACATCCAAGTCTCTGTGATGCACAGAAAGTCCAAATCGTGCTCTTGAAAGTAATCCCTGAGGATAAAAGTTTTGTTGGTAACAGATCTAGCGTTGACCAAACACATCGGATACTGTCCAAAGTGGAGCCAGCATCGGTGGAGTTAGCACGCGCTAATGGCTGCAGGTTTTCAATAACAGCCCCTCCAGGTCGGTCCGAGCTGCGCACCGGCTGACAACTCCTGTTGGTTACCTGGTCCGGGCACACAGGAAGCTGGCGATGGAAACCATGACCACTAGCTGGAGAGGAAGATGCAGCGCGCAGAGCTTTCATCTGACCAGCACGTTTTCCCCAGTGTCTGACGCGATTTCTCCGGGCAGGCAGGTGAGGAGCGCAGCGAAGGTAAGCTGGCAGGGGCGGAGGAGGGGGGGGGGGGGGTCCAGAGGTACGCTGATAATGGTCCAAATAAGCGACTTCAGTGCCAGAAAAACGAAGATCCAAAAGTTGTTGACTGTCATACACCAGCAGAGAGTTGATGTCACAGATGTGAAATGCAAAAACAAAAATAATCCGAACACCATCAGCAGAGGTGGATTGCAAGCCATGTACACGGGCGCCATCTTACCGGAAGTTAAGATAATCTTCATTTAAGTATATATTTGTGACTTTCAGGCATTTAGCCTTTTCCATCACCTGTTTCTTATTCTTGTGACTCAGAAATTTAACCATAATAGGTCTTGGCCTGTTGGAGTTGGAGCTCCTGAATTTTCCAAATATGTGCACTTTATCCACAGTCATCCTGCTGTAATCCAACTTTAAGTTGTTTGCAAAAATCTGCTTTATTTTCTCCTCTAACTCTTGCCACCTCCTATTTGGATTTTCTGGGATGCCTTCTGTTAGAACATTGTTTTGTTTACTATAATTTTCCAGACTGTCTGCCTTTGAATCCATAACTAACATAGATTCTGGTCATTTCTGATTATCATTCGAGTTGAAGTTGAATCCATTATTTAGCTTGCTTTGTTTATCTTTCAGTTCATCAACCTCCTTCTGTGTAAACTCCAAGCTTGTCTTCACTTCCTGCATATCTTTCATTAGCTCATCCACTCGTTTAGTCATTTTGGTCATTATCATTGGTGTGAAGTTATTATAACACTTCTCTTGTTGCATCAGCACTTCCTTAAAATGTGCTTGCTCTTTATCAAGCAACTTGTGTACCTGAGTTGCTGTCACATAGACCTTGTAGTTAGCATTCGTGCTGCTGCTTCTTGCTGGCATAGTGACTGGCAAAACAATTCACCACCAAATTCCCCAAGCAGCAAATCCAATCTAGCTCCACACGTTCTCCAAAAGTTGCCGCCACCAGCGAAGCAGTCAGGTAACAGTCTTTATTAAGGGGGGAGTGGTGGCGCAGAGGTTAGAGAGGTGGGCTTGTGATCCAAAGATCGCCGGTTCACGCCCCGCCCCCGACAACATCAAAAATTGTGGGTAGGGTAGGTGAAACACCCACACTTGCCCCCACCCTCATTCGCCCCACTCTGGGCCCATGAGCAAGGCCCTTAACCCCCACCATGTGCTCCCTAAAAAAAAAAACAGGTCTCTCTTGAAAATGAGTTCTCGTGGCTCAATGAGACTAACCTGTATAAATAAAGGGTAAATGAAATGAAAAAAAATTAATAGTTAATATTAAATTTCAAAATGTAAAATGGCAGAAACAGCCTCGTCCCGGGATTATGTGCCTTCTCCTCCTGCTGTGACGCCCAATACCGGTGCGGGTCCTACGTTTTTTTTCCTTCTAGCAGGTTGCTCAGTGGGAGGTGGCACAGCAAAGCTACCGAGAGGTAACATCTGATCTCTGGTGTAAACAATGGGAGTGTGGCCGCTCACAAGGCCTCCGAACACAAGTGTCTTGAAAAAAACTATAAAAAACAGAGTTGTCCACAAAAAGTTCAGCTCTAGTTTTCATACAAGCACTCACACACCTGTGTGAGTATGGTAGAATCGAACCTCCAACTCTTGCATTGTAGGACGACTGCTCTAACCACTCAGCCACAGCCGCCCCTCCATTCAGTCACAGCCGCCCCTATGTTATAAATAAATAAATATATGTTTTATATGTACATTTAGTAATGATTTCTTATAAGCCACCCAATCTCCTCCAGCCACAGCTTTCAAAAGATTTATTACTTTCTTACATTTTGTTTCTAACTAGTTCCTATGAGTTTTCCATGTATAAAAACTGTCTCACCATAATCCTAAATATTTGAACACGTCCACACACAGCATTGGACTGCTTTTGGTGAGCTCAAGCAACTTTTCTCTGCAGCGCTTATCCTCTGTTATCCAGACCCCAAGAAACAATTTATTCTAGAGACAGACACTTCTGACACAGGAGTGGGGGCAGTATTGTCTCAAATGTCCCAGGGTGACAACAAGATAAATCCATATACTTTCTTTTCTAGACGTTTGACCCCAGCTGAACAAAATTATGATTTTGGGCAAGACAGAACTTCTGGCCATTAAATTGGCCTTAGGAGGCATTGATTAGAGGGCACTGAGACACCTTTTCTCCTTTGGACTGACCACCAGAATCTGATATATATACAGAATGCTGAGACTGAATCCTAGACAAGCCTGTTGGTCCTTATTCTTTGCCAGGTTTAACTTTTCCTTAACTTACAGATCTGGTTCTAAGAATACCAAGTCTGATGCTCTGTCCCAACAGTTCTCTACCTCAGACAATTTCAAGACAGAGGAAAGCATCCTTCTTTCCTCCTGTGTGGTCGGTACACTCACTTGGTCCACTGAAGGAGACATCCAGGAGGCACAGAGGTCAAACCCCGACCCAGGTATTGGTCCCACTGGAAAAAGGTTTGTTCCATTGGCAGTGAGAGCCAAGATGTTGGATTGGGTCCATCCATCCATCCATTATCTTTTACCCGCTTCTTCCATTTTGGGTCACGGGGTGGATTGGGTCCATCCATCCATCCATTATCTTTTACCTGCTTCTTCCATTTTGGGTCACAGGGTGGATCGGGTCCATTCAAGTAAATTTTCTTGTCATCCCAGCACTAATTGCATGCTTTATTTTGTCAAGAGACACTTTTGGTGGTCCACCCTGAATCAGCATGTCAAGGATTTTGTGACCACATGCTCTTCTTGCGCTTGCAACAAAAATGGAAATCAACCCCCTGCTGGACTACTGCAACCTCTACCCACTCCCAGTCACCTGTCTCCCTGGACTTTATCATCAGACTATGTCCTTCAGAAGGTAACACAGTGATCCTCACTGTTATTGACGGGATATCAAAGGCCACCCATTTCATACCCTGGTCAAGCTTCCATCAGCCCTCTACACTGCACATCTTCTGATTTAACACATGTTACAGATCCATGGCATCCCTTCGGACATTGTGTCTGACCAAGGACACCAATATACCTCTCAGGTATGGCAAGTTTTTTGCAGTGCTTTTAAGGTCTCATCCAGTTTTCTACCGGTTACCACCTGCAGTCCAATGTGCAGTCAGAGTGCTATAACCAAGAGATGGAGACGGCACTCATATGTTATTGATAACAACCCCTCCTCTTGGAGCAAACACCTGGTTTGGGTGGAGTATGCACATAACACCCACACATCCTCAGCTACTGGGTTGTCACCCTTTGAGTCCTCCCTGGGTTATCTACCACCACTTTTCCCTAGTCAAGAGACTGACATTTCTGTACCCTCTGTCCAGAACCACTTCTGCCATTGTCGGAGAGTTTGATGGCAGAGGAAGGTGGCCTTGCTGCGTACAGCAGAATTAAATAAAAGGTTTGCTGACTGTCATCAATCTCTAGCACCCACATACCAATTGGGTCAGAAAGTATGGCTCTCCACCAGAGACATCCACCTTAAAGACACTCCCAGAAAACTTATTCCATGTTTCACTGGTCCCTTTCTTATTGTCAAGTTCATATCCTTCTGCTGTGAGACTGAAATGGTCCTCCTCTGTGCACATCCACCCTACTACTTTTCATGAAATAGAAATTAAACCCATCTCTGAGAGTCCCTTGTGCCCTCCTGATTACCCCCCCCCCCCCCCCCCAACTTACTGATAACCATCCAGCATTTACGGTCAGGCACATTCTCGATGTAAGACGTCAGGGTCAGGGCATCCAGTATTTGGTTGACTAGAAGAATATGGCCCAGAAGACAGATCTTGGATCCCCAGATATATATAT